TCGCTCCCTAAACACGGCTCACCCTGAGGCCGAGATAAATTATCACTTGCGCTCGCTGCGCCACTGCGCTTTTCCGGCCGTCTGCTAGCCCAATGTTCACGTTTCCATCTAACATGCATTTCATTGCGTTTCAAGAAAGCGCCGAAGTGGAAAATGCGCTGTCACGCTCGTATCTCCTCGAGGAGCGCTGCCTGACGAAGCTGCCTTGGCCCCTAAAAGGAGCCGATCTGAATATCATCTAAAACATTTGGAGGCGCATCAAGGCAGCCATGTCACGGCTTCCCCTCCACCGCGCCACTGCCTACAAATTGTGGAAAGCAGTGGGAGGTGAATGGGATTGGCTTCGGGGCTGAGCCAGACTTCGTGGCCGCGCTCTGTGATTTCTTACCAGACAGGATGAGAGTCGTGGTCGCGGGTCAGGAGAAAATGACGCGGTATTAAATTATTTTGCAATATTTACTGCGCCTCAGGATTCCCTGAACTGGACTTCTGCCGATTGGAACAAAGCTTGATGCTAGGGTTGCGACACACTGTTTGACGCCGTTAACCACGCATATTTTTGAGAGGTGCCTCCTTCATCCCGATCTTCTTGTATAGTGCAGTTGGACTTCCACGCCGACTATTATCCTTTTGTGTCTGACAATGTCCTCTGCAAATATTATTTCGATTAAGTTTCAATCTCCTTCTCTTGACAAATATATGACTGTTTGTCCCACCTTATTAAGACTAGGAATTCGTAAACAAAAAACTGGTGTCTTGTCAGCAACTTGTTTTACTCAAACAAACACATGGGCCCAGTAATAAAGAAACAATATTTTTGAACCTTTTCATACTAATCAAGGTTACAAAACCTTCTCAATAACATATATGCTTACCGCTTTTTGAACAGCTGTGATCAGTGAAACAGAAAAAAAAACAAAAACACGATGTCCCACTTTGTGCATGCGCCTATCATCAAACAAAAACAACCTGCAACGCATTTTGATATGACTTTCAAAAACGGTAATCACAGTTGAAATTTAAGACACTTCAATGCTTTTTCTTCAACCAGTCAGCGTTTTTTCTATGGGATTTTGCGCGATAGAGTAAAGTAAATCAATACCAAAAAAGAAACGACAAGTGTAATCTTTTCTTCCCCAGCCGCCCTACCACACATGCCGGTTGTCGCACCCACCGTCTCGCTTGCAGATGGCCGGAAGAGCGCAGTGGCGCAGCGAGCGCAAGTGAGAAAATATCTCGGACTCAGGGTGCGCCATGTGTGCGGAGCAAGGCGACAGGCGGCGCAGGTAGTACCGTGTGCCGGCCGGAGCGCTGTTTCAGCTCATATTGTCCGCGATAGTACGTAACGCGTTACTAGTAACGAGTTACTTCTACCTAGTTACTTTCTTCAGTAACAAATAACGTGTTGAGTTACTTTTAAGGTCAAGTGACGAATAACGTTATTTCGTTACTTTTGAGGAGCAACGTGTACGACAGCGTTTATACAGCCTCGTTTTAATTCTAACCTGAGTATGTCTCTATTGCGACAAAGGCAGATGGCCAACCAGAAAAACAACTCAACAGTAGGACACATAGCAACGTTTATCGCTGAAGACGTCAGTCGAACGGGCCTATGACTTTTCAGTGTAGGGCGTTTCGGTGTAGGGTGTTTCGGTGCGGACTTTCCGGTGCACGGACTTTTCGGTGCACAGATCGACATTTCGGTGCACGGACTTTTCGGTGCACGAACATTTCGGTGAATAGACAAACAAAATACGATTTTTTCTTCTCCAGAGACTTGTGGACCACTAAAAAAAGTGACATCATAAAAGAGATAGAAAAAGTATCTTCAAGTAATAGATTAATTTCAATATATGACTTTTAATTCAAACGTTGGGTGGCAGAAATACACATAAACAAATAAGAAGTTCACCGTTTATTGATTTTTTGTGGTAGTTGTCTGGTCATTTATATTTTGGTGAGTTTCAATAGCAGATGTCTTTCGAAGCTCGCGACTTAGCAAAATACCGTTTTCTACTCGCTAATGGCGAATCTTTTAGCGAGTTGACCGGGTCCCCCACAAAGACATTCAAAATTAGTTTTATGTATGGTTTATATAGTGACAGGAGTTGGTGTAAGTTCGGCTGATGTTGCGTTTTAGAGAATTAACTCTAGGGAATCATATTTTCAATATGGATTAATCGAACTACCGGCAAAAAATGTTTGGCGAGTAACGCTGCTTTTTAATTGTAAAAGCTTGATCATTGCCTTGTCCTAAACTCAGCCATGGTTTCAGGTTCACACTTTTAATGATAATATATATATATATATATATATATATATATATATATATATATATATATATATATATATATCAGTGTGTCGAACCGAAAAAAATACGGGTTCGGTTCCGGTTCAGGTTCAGGTAAATTTATTTTGTTCCGGTTCAGTTCCGGTTCGATTATTTCGATCCGCGAACCGGTTCGGGGCGCTGAACCGGTTCGCGAACCGGTTCGGAAATTATAAATGACAATTTGCAACATCAAAATAAATGACAAAATAAAACATCTGAAATCAGCACATACAAAACGGGATACATCGTAGTGTAAGGCTCAGGGATTTCCACCAGGAATGGTTTCTTTATGTGCACTCAAAGGTTACCTCACCGACGTTTACGCATTCGGACTTCATCTAATTGGGTCCGACGCAGTAGCTGTAAAATCCGCGACCTCCTTACAAACCCACTTACAAGTAGAACTCGCAAACTATCCCGCCACCTCGGCGTGTAAGCAATTGAAGGAACAGTGGGGAGAAAATACAGCTTTCTTTATTTGAACTAGCCTTCGGTAACTCAAATTAGACCCTTAAAAAAGTTTTCATTAAACAAGATACGGAATATGAAAAACACTTCACCGAACGCAACGCCAGAAGGACGTAATAGGATAATTATTAAAATAGAAGAGTTCGCTGTCTCACAAATATGTTAGCTTCTAAGTGCCTATACGAAACCGGATGCATTATTATCAAACTCCACAGCCTTTTCTTTTCTCATTCCGATGGAAGCAAGCTTCAAGAACTCGCGCGTTCTAGAAACGTGTTATGAAATGAGCACGCAGCAGCATTTAGGATTTACGAGATTGTAGGAAAATAAAATCCCGTGACGGCGATTTTTTTTTTTTTTTTTTTTTTTTGCACAGCCTTCCAATTCTCTTTCTTCCGTGCAAGCCGCGACCAGCGCAATACTGGTTCCTATGTCAAGATTCATGGATGCAGCGTTTATATTCCTAAGACTGAGTGGAGAAGAAAAATATGTAAGCGAGGTGTGTGTCAGTTGACGGCACTTAAAAAACAAATGGCATTGATAGCACATTCATTGTCAACAGCGCGTGGCCGAACCGTTTTGACATGAGCCGGTAACCGTTATTTTTTTTCCGGTTCAGTTCCGGTTCGGGTTCATCGCGATAACAATATAACGGTTCGGGTTCGGGTTCAGTTCCGGAAAAAATACCGGTTCGGTTCCGGTTTTCGGTTCGGTTCGGTTCCGGTTCGACACCCTGATATATATATATATATATATATATATATATATATATATATGTGTGTGTGTGTTTGTGTGTGTGTGTGTATTTGTGTATTTGTGTGTGTGTGTGTGTGTGTGTGTGTGTGTGTGTGTGTGTGTGTGTGTGTGTGTGTGTGTGTGTGTGTGTGTGTGTGTGTGTGTGTGTGTGTGTGTGTGTGTGTGTGTGTGTGTGTGTGCGCTTTGGTGCTTCTGTGTACTTCAGTTCTCTAATCACACCAGAAAAAAAAAGAGAAGAAAAAAACAGTGAGCCGAGAACGTTGCTTTAAAATTAAGAGTTGCTCTGATCGGAGAGGTTGCAAGCTGTTAAAAAAAGAAAATACTAAAATGCAGTTACAGATATAAAAAAATTCAATTGTAATCCTAAAATTAATTCAAGGCACATATTTACACCAAAATGCCCTTGCACCGAAAAGTCCGTGCACCGGAAAGACCGCACCGAAACGCCCTGCACCGAAACGTCCTACGCCGAGAGGTCCGGATCCCCAGTTAAACTGTACAGCTGGGAATGTCCTTCACCCAGAGAACGCAATAAGGTTCGTTGGTTGACCCGCATAGAATCGTGCACAGACCGAATGTCAGCCCGTAGGTTGCCAACACGGGGCGGCACAGAAACCATTGACAACTTCGAACTCTAAAAGCAGAGAGAACAAAAGAGAGAAGGGAAATAAGGTAGCAATGCAGGCGAATTGCTTCATGACCCCATCTTCGAAGATACCTTAACCATTGGCAGGAATCGCGCAAAAGTTGATAGAGAGGTGCTGGCGGCACATACAATAGAAAAAGCAGGCGCGAGGCAGTGCGTAAGCAAGCCTTCAATTTACCAACATAAAAAAAAAAATATAGATTTTATCGATGCCTGGTGAGCGACACGTCATCGTTGTGCGATGTTGTTTGATTTTAGGGTGGTTTCTTGTTCGATCCATTTTTTTTTTTTTTTTCAATAAATGTTTAGTTGATAGTTCAGCGCTCGTCCTGCGCGCTTCTATGTCCCTGCCTTTTTGCGCGCTGCTTTTAATTTATTAAGATAGGGGAATCCCAGATTCACCAACTCTTCCTTAAGCACAACACTGCCGTTCCTTCGAGCGCGTCGGTAGAGTGACTCATCAGCTTCGCCGAAGATGTATTCTCAAGGAAGCGGGGAAACATAACTCATGAAGACTTCGAGAGGCAGCTACTGCGTAAGTGCAACGACTACTGAAAAGAAAGCAATAAACCACGAAACAAAAGCAGTTGTGTATTTGGTCGTCAAAGTAACGAGAAAAGAAACTCGATACAGTTGAGGTGAACTGACGCGTTCCTTTTGAGAATCGGTAACGAGTAACGTATTTAGTTACTTTTTGAGTGAGTAATGAGTAACGGTATGTATGCGCACAATGGTGTGAGATGGAGTACAACTGGCAGCCAGATACAGACGGTGCAATCAAAGACGATTTGAAGTCACCTCCTTCCAGAAGGGCCTCCCGACGTCCACGTACTCCTTGCAGACATCGAGGCCCACCACTTTGCCATCCGGGGGAAGGGCTAGCGCAGCTGCCAGGGCGCTGCACCCTGTGAACACTCCTAAAGAAAGTTCACGACACGTGTTAAGCCGCCTTCTTTTGGTGCGCATTTCTGCACCATCATGTATCGCAGTCAGCCTCCGGTAAATTATTAACGAAATGATCAGAACGGTGCAAGTTGGTAAAAGCGCAAAGAACTAGGAAAAAGAGTAGAAGTGCATGATACACGGAGCGCTACTGGCAACTAAATTTTATTTGGAAAAACTCGATCATGCATACAGACTTGATTAAACCTCACCCGAAATTAATCTAAATTCTTTATACGATTACAAACGTGACTACGCACTGATGCAGCCGCCGTCACTCCCCTTTACCCTGATTCTGGACGCCCCAAAAAATGTCCCTCTCTGTTTTGGTTTTGTACTTGCCCGGAATATGTGTTCCATCTATGGTCGGTGAGAGGTTAAGAGTTCGGGGGAAACTCCTCCCAGCTCTTTCTCTATAGTAGAGCGAACGCTAGACAGGAGGCGGCCTCCCCTCCAGCATCCGCTCTGCTAAAGGGTAGGAACTTCCCAATGAACTCTTAACCTGTCACTGGCTATAGTACCGTATCGCACGGACACCTATCACAGTGTGTCCGTGTTCGGGGAACTTGGTCTTCCACTGTGAATTTCGCACATAAATTGAAATCTGAAGTGGTAAAAAAAAAGATTTGCACACTCATATTGTAGATAAACATTGCTAGTCTTTTTACGCTAATGACAAACCACCGCTTCCTAAAAGCAACGGCTTGAACCACCGCTGCCTGTCATCTGTCGTTCACAACTTCGGGACAATGTTTTCTTATTTTTCAGTTAAAACCATTTCTTCTGGGACCATTGTTTTTCGGGGTCATTTGTTCCGGGACCATTTCTTTCGTTTCCCCCGATATACGCCGAATTTTCAGCAAAAAAAAAAAAAAAAAAGGATTAACTCCGAAAAACACCCTCCGACTTTCACAAGAAATGAACTCCAAAAACACAGAATCGTACTTATAACTTTAAGGTTTTGTGCATTTCGCATTTAAGGCTTACGCGTGAATCATTCGAATACTTGCCTTCGGTATCTCCTTAGACAACACGAGCCAACAAAATGGTGGACGAAGTTGCGCAAGTGAATACCTCATATAGTGCCACGCGTATTATTACGAGTCTCTGCGTGTGCACTGTAGCTTTAACGATGGCTCAGTCATACTGTCAAAGCTCGGGCAAAGTCTGTGCAGGATCAACAAATAAGGCTGGCAGCAAGGCTGGGCAGAGATACTCCAAAAAGTATTCGGGAATACAGCTACTGAGATTCCTGTGTTTTAGTGCCCAAAATACAGATATTGAGATACATTCGACTTTTATGCAACGGGATATTCCTGAGATACTTCTGAAGAAACGTCAAAAAATTATTCCGGAATACAGAAACAGATACTTATAGAAATACATTTGTTCCCGAACGGTGCGACGTGGGGAGGGTGTAGTTCGTGGCAATGGCGATTGGTAATTTATGCTTTTTCTCTTTTTTTTTCCTGCCAATTTATGCACTACCCCTTGCCTCAAACTCTTTATTATCATTAATGCCTCTAAAAAACGTTATCCCCGTTGAACCACATAGTTACAGAACGGTAAAGACTGTGTCATGCTTGACAAAAGGCGTCTGCCTAAAATGAGCCCTGTTTTGCCGTGAGGGCGCATCTCAAATTGTCGTTTTATATTCTTCTGAGTAATCCATAGTGTGGGGAGATTGGACAACAGGGCCGTACTTTTTCTCCACTCGACTCCTCTACAGCGTTCGCTCTGCTAAATTGGAAAGAGGTGAAGGCTTTGCGAAAGGAGCTGATTTTGTTATTCTTGCAAGTAACCTTCTTTAAACCACAGTTTTTTTGTTTTGTTTTTTTTTGTTTTTGTTTTTTTTTATGTTGCTGAGTTGAGTTGGACTGAGTTGGATTATGTTATCGAGACGGTTCATGCTATAAATTCCGAAGAAACTTGCACTACACAGGTGTTTTTATCCTTTAAATGTATCTTAAAAAGGGCAACAAATGTAACGAGATACCTAAGTGTGGCAAAGTATCGCGATACAAGCGATACATTGTAAATGTATTTCACTACTGAAATACAAACACATTTTTTAATGTATTTTGATACAGAGATACAGATCATCGAAAGTATCGTTAAGATATCGCGATACATTTGTATCGCGACACTGCCCAGCCCTGGCTGGCACTCTGCCCTTCTTCCCCGTTTAGCGTAACATAGTCATTGCAACAGTGAATATAGTAACTGGATCACATAAAAGAAAAGCTTGCGCTAGCTAATACTAAAATTAATCAAGTTAAATTACAGCTATACTTGTTATAATAGGGAATTGCAAATTAAGGGCGATCCAAACCAACTCGCAATCCATTCTTCGGGCGGCGGAAGACGGACATTTTTTTCAGTGGTGTGACACAGACATGTGCCTATCTCAAATACTCTACTCAAGGTAGTGTATTTAATATACTTTTTGAAGTATCTTGATATCTTGCAGATGCTTTTGATCGAGAGTATTTGATACTTGATTTTAATTACACTTCTAAATATCTTGTACTCATTATCTCAAATACATGTTTAACATCTCGCCATTTTCCGAGTTTTTCGGTATGAAGTGGCGTGGGCGTGGCACGAGCAAACGTGAACATTCTTTCGAGCAAATCCTGTTGCTAACTATAGCTACGGTGAGTTTGATTGAGCTCGTGAAAACATCGCTTTTTTGCCGATTGCGACTCATACTTTAGCCCAAAGCTCCTATAATGAAGGTTTTCCCCTCACCTTCCCAAAGGCGCCTTTTGTTTCCTAGAGTTTCCCCCAAGAACTCCCGAGACAAAAGGGGTGGTTTTACGGAAGTAAAGATTGCCACACTGAGCGCAACGCAGACCGGGAAACGATTTATGACAACAATGCAGACTTGAGTTTCAAGAAAATGACACATATAAAAATGAAAAGTGGACAGACACGATAAAAAAAAGTTTGTTTTTCTTGTTTTATATTTGGAACCCGCTACGGCAAAACGTCAAGGTTTTCTTTTGGTTCTTTTCTTTTTGTCGTCAGGCCGTCACTTATTGCTCTGGCAAACACTGTCTGTAAAAGAACATTGATAAGCAGAGAACAGGACAGGAAATGAACTAAGAGCTGTATGACCTCTTAAAATGCCAACAAAGCGTCCCCCAACGTTGAGTGCCTTTCTGAACACAACCTACTTGAAGAAGGTATGTCCACTGCCCTGGCTATTATGGGGTTCTCTTTGTTATCCGTCCACTCATATCTGTATCCCAAGTTCGTTTATAGTGAACTCCCCTAATAGGGAATATGGATTGTAGTTAAACGATGCGTCTAAGGTGCGCCGCAGGACGTGATATTCACGCTCTGTCCCGTTTGTTGTCCCCACACCTCGGTGTTTACCCAGCACAAGGCCTGTGCACATGCCCACAGGCCTTGTGGGAATGTCCACGTCATCTTCTTCAATAAAGCGCGGGGCACAGTGTAATGTAAAAAATACTAACAATAAACGAAGTAACGTTAAGTGCCGGATCTCACCCGAAAGCAGTCGTCTGGGAATGCGAGCTTGACCCACTTCAACTTTTGTGCTGAAGTGGGCACCCTGCATGGCTGCATTGTTCATGCAGGCCGAAATGGGAACAAAAGAGCCCCTCCTCGAACTCACCCGAGAACACGAACTCCAGCCGGACGCTGTCTCCGTATTCGGTCATGTCAGCCGAGCGCCGAGTCATTGAAGTTGTTGTCCCCATTCGTGTAGTTCTAAAGTTAACCGCTTGGAGCCAGTGTTGCCATTTCAGCGATTTTGTCGCTAGATTTAGCGATTGTTTTATACATTTAGCGACAGATTTTTTTTAATTTAGCGGCTAGCGACTTTTTTAGCGACTTTGGTGTTCAACCGTAATCTTCTTATTTTGAACAATTTTAGAGATGCTCGCGGGCTAAACCTTTTTGCTTCTCTAGCCGAGTTTGCTTTGGGTATATGCTCAATTTAGTGGCGCACTTTAAAAACATGTCAACACTGTTAACACTGCAGACCATCTCTCCCGCGCCCACGTACCCACGTGCTCTCCGCCAAACGTCATCCTGACTGTAAGAGCTGGCCTCAAAAGGCACGCAAAGACGTGTTTCGACTATGAACTTCCAGAAGAAGTTGTTCGGCGAAGTGGCACAGTTGAAGCCTACAAAGCTGGCAACGAACCGTCGACACCGGCAGATTTAGGTGACTTGAGTGCAGTCACCATCGAGGAAAAACTATTCTTCTTTGAAATGTTCCATTGAACTGTTCTTGAAGACAAAGCAATCATTATTTCCGTGTTAAAATTAACAAGTACCCGTTTCTTATTCGTACTTTCGTACTTACCGCCTAGTAGTTTCCCCAAAAAACATTACAAATAAAAAAGTCCTAGTTGTTTTTCAGGGTAAATTTAACCTCTCAAAATACCTGAGATATGATTATTTGAGGTTCACTTACTTTAAAAGGGTTTAATAAGCTTTTGGGATTCAGCGAATAGTTTAGCGACTTCCCGGCGAATCTAGCGACTGTTTAGTGACTTCCTAATCTCAATTTAGCGGGGCGCGCAAAAAAAAGATGGCAACACTGCTTGGAGCGCCACGGTCTGATCTCCTCCCCATATTGGTGTGTTGCCACGCGCGTTACCGAGCGAGCTCGTGGCCGAATGGTTGCCGCGCTTCGCTCTCGCGCGGATGCTCCGGGTTCGATTCCAGAAAGCGGACTCCTCTTGTATTTATTATTTTGACTTGTCATTCTCGTAAGTTCTAAAACCTTGTCGTCTGATCGAGTTACGAATGTTTTACGCGCCGAACGTTCTATGCCGAATGTTCCAGAAACCTACGCGGGTACAAAAGGTGCTCCTCGTGGCGGTCTGGAATCAGTCTCGCACCAGCGCTCGATCCTGCTGTTTCGCCGATATCGACGCCTGCGACGCTAGCCTTTCTTATATATTTTGTTTTGGGCACAAGTTCGCCCCATTAAACGTCTAGTTTCTTCAGTTATTCGCCGCCGCATCATTTGTCATTCCTGACAATATCCTGCTCCTTATATAGTTGAACTGCATAAAATAGCCCTACGATGATTTTTTTCTTTTTTTGCCGTTTTGTTTTGTTGCGCGCTAATAAACCATTCTGTGTACTTGTCGCGAACTCTCGCAGTCTTCTGCCTAAACAAGATATCTTTTTGTCAACTGTGCATGATTCAGGTGCTCAGATTGTGCTGGGAACTGAAACGTGGTTAAAGCCGGAGATTAGCGATGGCGAGGTTCTTCTTAGTCAATAATTTCATTTGTTTCGTAACGACCGCACACGTTCCCGCGGTGGCGGCGTACTTATTGCTATCAGTAAAGTCATGAATGCATCACTTATTTCTGTAGATTGTGACCTTGAAGTTTTGTGCGTACGCTTTAGATCATCCTTTTTTTTTTTTTTTCAGTTATCGTTGGCGCCTGTTATCGCCCTCCTGGTCGTGACAATGCTTTCGTTGATAAACTGTACGTTTGTATGGAGCACGTTTTTTCTTTATTTCCCGGTAGTACCATTATTTTTGGCGGGGATTTTAATTGCCCAGGTGTAAATTGGAAGGGGGGCATTTGTCTTTCCTCTTGTGCGGTTGGTGCAGAAGCTTTAAATTTTATTAACCTGATGCATAGCTATGGTCTCGCTCAAATTGTAAACGAACCCACACGGTTACATTCTGTTTTGGACCTTGTTTTCACCTCGAGTGCGGATGATCTGCGGTCAGTTCGTATTCTTGACAGGATCAGCGATCATAACACTGTTTTAGTTGAAATGTCTCAGCCATTAGTAACTAGAAAGATAAGTCCTAAATTCATCAATGCATACAGCAAGGTTAACGAATGTGCCCTAAACGAGGCTTTCAAGAAGTTTGCTTCAGAATACGAACACCATTTTTATGAAAGATCTGTGGAGTCAAACTGGAAATTACTAAAAGACGAATTTAAGCAGTTGATTCTCGATTTGTGCCTCAAATTGTGTTAAAAACGAATGCTGATCAACCCTGGTTCACGAATACACTCAGAAAATAAATAATAAAAAAAAGCGTCTCTTTGCCAAAGTTAAAACTCCAACCTTGTATCTGATATGTCAAAGTACTTGAACTGTTTTTAAGGAATTCAAAAATAGCATAAAAAAGGCGAAGAACAAATACTTCAAGCAAGACCTGCTAAATTTATTATTAGCCAACCCTCGGAAGTTTTGGAAAACAATATGTCCAAAAAAGGATGACTCTCTCCCTAAACTGAGCAACGACCTCAACGAAGTATTAACAAACCTTGAATAAGCTACCGTCTTTAACAACTATTTTTCGTCCGTGTTCACCGTAGAAGACTTACCAGTACCCTGTAATTCGATCTGTAGACCACTTAACATTTCTTGCGAACCTATTGTCTTTGACCGAAATGGTATCCTCAATGCAATCGAAAAACTCTCCCGCAGCTCAGCCCCTGGCGACGACAGTATTTGCCCTAAACTTCTAAAAATAACAAAGCACCCATATCATCTTATCTTCTTTGTAGACTGTTTCAACAATCGCTTGACTCGGCGACCCTCCCGGAGGACTGGAGATTCGGGAGAGTTCTACCTATTTTTAAATCCGGAAACAAACAGGACTACTCGAATTATAGACCTATATCGCTGACAAGTGTGCCATGCAAAATTTTTGAACATGTCGTCTACTCCCACATCATGAACTATTTGTCGGAAAATAAATTAATATGTAACAACCAACATGGTTTCAGCTCGGGATATTCATGCGAAACCCAGCTTTTTGAGTTTGTAACAGATTTGCATAACAATTTTCACTCCTCTAAACCCACTGATGCCATCTTCATCGACTTCTCTAAAGCATTTGACACGGTTCCTCACCAGCGACTTCTATACAAACTTTCTGAACTTAACATCCATCCATCTATTATACTCTGGATAGCTGAATTCTTAAATAACCGTAAGCAAACTGTTCACCTTGAGCATGCCAGATCACCAAGCCTGCCTGTACTGTCGGCCGTCCCCCAGGGCACCGTTCTCGGTCCGCTTTTATTTCTTATATATATTAACGATTTTCCTCACCAGATAACATCATCTATTAGGCTTTCCGCGGATGATTGCGTAATTTACCGTCGCCTCACTAACCCTGAAGATTCATTACTACTACAGCAGGATCTAAATGTTCTGTCTCATTGGTGTAACACGTGGCAGATGAAGGTCAATGTAACCAAGAGCAAACTTTTAACATTCACTGGTCAGCGATCTCCTATTGTACGTAACTACACCTTACTAACACTACCTCTCGAAAAAGTACCAACTTACAAATATTTAGGCGTAACATTTTCTGATGACCTAACTTGGAAGTCGGAATACTCATATTGACAATATAGTGGCAAGTGCATGCAGATCTCTAGGATACATAAAACGTAACCTATACCCCACTCCCCGTTGTGTTAAACTAACTGCCTATAAGGCTTTCGTCCGATCAAAATTGGACTACGCCAACTTTATTTGGTGGCCTCATCAATCATATCTCATTACTAAACTCGAATCGGTGCAAAACAAGGCCTCACGTTTTATAACACATGACTACTCGCGAACGTCAAGCGTAACTGTACTAAAATTCAACCTTGACCTATGCCCTCTATCTCAAAGAACTCAACTTGCTCGTCTTGTCCTTTTTCACAAAACTTACTATTCCTCTTCTGATTTTCGAAACACCAACTGTCACCCATCACCTCACATCTCCTTGCGTCATGACCACAGCCTAAAAATTAAACCTCTATTCGCCAGAACTAATAAATTCCAAAATTCCCCATTTTTCTCTCGCTGTTACTAACTGGAATTCCCTTCCTGAATCCATAGTACGTGAATCTAACCCTAAGACATTCCGTGAACTATGCAAGGCACACCTGAAAAGCGTTGATCCTTAACATGTTTATCTGTTAATTATTTTTTCTACATGTTATGTTCTGATATCTGTCCTATTAGTTTGTAGTTTTTTGTTTTCTTTTTGCGTTTTCCTATTGTTTACCTTGTCGTCACACTTTTGCCATCTGTATATGTCATTTGATCCCCCCTCATGTAATGCATTTCATTTGAAATGCCTTTGAGGTACAATAAACTGAACTGAACTGAACTGGTAAACCAGATTTGCGCAGCTGTATAGTAATTGTCGTTGTCAGTGACGTCGATACGAATTAAGCAATGCGGAAGCATCTTCAAAAGTAATTGAATTACATTTCTAAGTATTTCTACCCTACTCAAGATACTTTACAGTGAAAGTAACGTGAGTAGTATTTTAAATACTTTATGAAGCAGGTATTTAGTAACTTAAATACTTTTATCGAGTATTTTGTCCAACACTGGTGTGACATCACGTATTCCGGGTCAAGTCGTTAAATAAGTTTCACAATAGAATAGAGGCTTTCTTTTTTTTCTTTCTCGCTGCGGCCAACGCAACGAACAACTCCTTGAACCGCCCCCCCCCCCCTCCCCCTCCTTGATTTCCACTGGCCGTTGTTTGTGACATCACACACATTTTGATTGGCCTCCCGTAGAGAACCTCTGTCGTGTCATTTCAACGGCCGCTGGCCGTTGGTGCGCCGGTGCGTCGTCCGAACAAAAGCGCACACTTTGAACCCTCAACGGGCCCCGGAAGTCAGAAACGTTCCTAGCTTCTCTGACATCAGGCCAGAATCCTATCTGGTTGGACCGCCCTTTACGCAGAATAGTAATTAAACGAACCATTCGATACAGTTGTTCTCCAAGCGTTTTCTACACACGAAGTTGCATAAAAAAATATAGAAATAATGACGCAAATTTGTTGTGAAAAGATTGAGCAGGAAGAGACGCTGAAGCTCCGCGCTTACCGACTTCCAGATACTTCTTGGCTCCCGTCGCCTTGAGAAGAAGTTGGATCAGTTGGAGTTCACTCGGGTCGCCCATCATTCCTCCCATCGGTAACTTCATAGTTTCCTTTTGTTATGTGTAAAAAAAAAAAAAAAATTAGAGCTCGCACTGCAATACCTTTACAACCTGGCACTCTCGCGGAGGTTGGGCCTCATTCCAACAAAACAACGGGAAGTATTTCAGAGCTCACTTATATACTATATGTTAGTGACTTCAAAATAGCGGACCTTGGCAATAAAGGTTTAGTTGCGAAGATAAGGCGTGAATTTTTCGAAGGATAAAAACCAGGTCGTCTTTTATTCCGCAGCTCGCGAAAAACCAATGATTGCGATTTACCAAAAAAACAAAAGCGTGACCAGCGAATGACGACGCGGGCATCACGATTTGGTGCCAAAACAAAGATGTGCCCCGAGTCACTGACACGCTCGCGTACCCAGAAACTCCGCGCACGCAGACCGCATTCAAATGACCTGTAGGTCGTCATTCACCGGTTCATCTCAGCAAGTCGCAACGTTGTATTTGATAGTGTTGAGAGAAACAGGGCCCTGAAACCAAATCGTGACGAATGGCTAGATACGAGCGGGCAGGTCCTAAATCCCGAGCCCGACCCGAGCTCGTCCCGACCCCGTTCCGACCCCGTTCTGACCCCGTTCCAACCCTGGCCCGACCTAACCCGATAGTCGGATCGTGCTCGAGACAAGTTCGAGCCGATTTGTAGTAATGCTGGGCTTGATTGAGGAACCGGGACCCGGCCAACCCGGTTTTGCCATGTGTAAGAATGTAAATTTGAGAACCCCGTCAGTTCTCTACAGAACCTCTGAAAGCGCGAAAGGTAGCGTACGTATCGGGTGCTGCGGGTTATGACACAGGAAATGTGTAGTTTTGACCGTTCGGCTGCACCCTGGCCCAGCCGAACGCTTTCCGACGCGCTTTCCGATACGCTTTCCGACGCGCGGAAAGCGTATCACAGGCCACGTCCACAGAACGGGATTGCCATCCGCTGCGTCCGGACGTAAGGTGAAACGGGGTATAGGCGGGTTCTTCTTTTATAGATGAAAGGCTAGTGACGTCACTCCTCATGTCGCAAGCTGCCGTCGCCGCTGCAGCAGGCGCCGTTATCAACCATTATACGGTTCGCACTTCACACGAGGGCTTCGAATGACGTCAACCCTTTTCGAAGCAGCTGCAAACCTAATCTTTACGGGAACGCGTGGGAGGGTGTTCGTATTGGTCACACGCGCCTTATCATGAATCATGTGGTTTTGATGCTTGTTCTGTGGTTTTCTTTATTGAAACGGATACTGAGCTGCATGCTGCATGCCATGATTCCAAAGGAGATATGCTGTTTTCCCTTCAATTGTTCGCCGGGGGTTTTCTGCTTACAACGACGACACGAAACTTTCCTTGGCTGGTAGAGGTATACTGCTTCGCTGTAAAACCGAAGCGGTTCGTGAACACAACCAACGCTCATCTCTTTGAGTGGGCTGCATAACAAAATTGAAGTTTGACTACACACTGCGCAACACACCTTGTTGTGTTTGCGCACACGTACAGCTGCCGTCAAAGCAGTATTCTGTTGTATTACTCCTGTATTCTGTTGTATTCACTCCCACTTGGGCCATCATGGTCTGCAGTATGGTATACAAAAAAAAAATTAAAAATAAATAAACGTTGGAATGGTGTGTGCGTTGAACGGTACTTTGAACCTGACATTAACATGCTTGGATTCAGATTGATTCAGCCTCGACAATATCGGTGCCTCGGTATTCGCTGTTCTCCTTCTGTAAATGACAATGATTGGCCCTTCGCGTGCTCTCCAGGAAAGTAGACGCTCAGGATTTGTTCGTGGGGAAGGCTGATACCATCTGGGCAAACTTTCGGTACAGTTATGCCTAGCAAATTCGGCCAGCAGGCAAGTTACATAGTCAGCAGCCTCACCTCGATCAGCTTCTCTTGGGCAGGGTGCAGAGACAGGGAGTGCTTCCGAACATACATTGACGCCTCATCACTGACGAAGCCGCTTTTTATCGCGTGGTACATACCCTGAAAAAGAAATAGCTGTTAATATACCGTTTCAGTTGCACCTGCACGTACAATCAGCGGCAATGTAAGCTGCCCAGTTTAGTGCTATCCGAAAGAGGTCAAATACTGCTTGGGGTGCCTCCGGCACGCTACGCTATTTTTTTTTTCTTTATTGATTTGTTTATACTGCGAGCTCAATTGGGGCCATTGCAGGAGTGTAAAATATCGGTTAAAATAAATCAATATTCAAGAACAAAAAAATATCGATTTAACAATCGCCCATCAAGGCAAGGTAAGTTTCCCTATTTTTAATCTAAAGTCGTCATAGCGAAGCATACCTATAGATCTATCGACACTGTACCATAATTCAATAGTGCGAGGGTCAAAATAATTTGTAAAACAATTAATATGAGAATAAAAGGCAACAATGTTCAAAGGATGCCACCATCTGGTGCGAGTGACATCCGTGAAATTAATGTTGTTTATGCGCTGGATGCCACCATCCCCATGAACTATATCATTAAACATTTGGAGCCGCTCCACAGTTCGCCTGAAAGATAAAGATTTAATTCCAAACATTGTCATAGCAGACGATGGTGAGAAATTTCGATCATACCTATAGTACAGTGGCTTAAAGGGGGTAGTGTAGTTACCGCGTAGCCTCCACCATGCATTGAGAACGGCCGCTCCTTGGAAGACGGTGTAGGTGGCGTTTCGATCCGCAGCTCCGTTGGGTGCCTCCATCGGCCGGCAGATAGAGGCACCCTAACACGCTTCATAACTATTATAAATATCTCAAAAACCATTATTTGTTTCCAGTGAACTTCCAAGGACATGGTTTGTGTTCGTAGCTGAATAAAAATGTGAAACTAGCAGACGGCAATGTAGTCGACAGCATAGAGTTATTACAATAGACGCTAGAGGTTCAGCTGGCGCTAGTGTCTACGGGACTTCAGGTTGCAAATTGAAGCAGACAGCATGCAGTCTACATTTCCAGCCTCCCCGTGTATTCCTATAAGAAAACGCACGTGAATTTTGTCTCTTCGCCGGAAAATAACATGAATAATTTTTGTCATTTCGGTTGTACCGGATAGTATGTACCTTTATTGGTATTGTGAAAGTGTAATTGCTTTAGTTACAGCATTTTTCTTTACCGCTGAACGATGTTAAACTTCGCTCTATTTCAGGCCCAAACCAGATCTGTTTCAAGGAAGGTATGTGAAAACGAGCGCCGATTCTAAGCAAACTAACGATCGAAAGGAATGTATATTGTGTTCAAGGTTTGCTAGCATTTCGATGGTGCTTATATATTGCTAATATGCCCGTCCTGTCATTGGATGAAAATGACTCCGTCGTGCATCTTTACGGGCGGTTAAAAACATTCAAAATGTAAAGAACACGTGAGCTACGAAACGTGTGTCTTTATTATTTCCTATTTCGGGCAGTTTTTATCGGGCGCCTGCTCTCTGCCTCCCCCTATTTGCAAAGATTTGGAGCGTGCGGGTGATGATTTGAACCCAGAACAAGCATCTTCGCACATATTCATGAACAGAAAGAATAAAACAGTACTTATTTATTGCAAATTTGACTATATTACGTGGCTTTCAATTTATTTTGATCGTCTGCGTGCACAAGAAGTTACTTATCCAGTGTTACTGCGTAGTTCTTGCCGTCTCCCTTGGTTTTCCAGATGTAATTCGTTCGTTTGGCACGTATATCCCCCATGCTGGAAATCGTCGACGTCGTGTTCGCGCTAACAGTGTCCGACAGTGCACATAAATACACGTACGAAGTGGCTTTTAACACCGCTTTTCATGCCACGAATTTCAAATAAAAATGCTGTAACTGACCAATATTTCGTCTGAGTGACTGAGAAATGTTATAATGTGCCTAGTACGTAGAAATTATTCGTGATATTGTCTCTTATAATCGAGCGCAGAGAGAAAATGCCCTCGCTTTTTCCATAGAAATGCATTACCGGAAATCAATTTCTGACTGCTTGCTGTCTGCTTCAAAATGCAACAGCACACTATAGCGCCACCTGAGCCTCTAGCGTTTATTGTAATAACTCTATGGCCAACAGCTGCGAATCGGCCGGAGCTCGCCAGAGCCAAGCTGGCCAAGCGGCCAAGCCGGAGCCATAGCCGGAACGACGGTGCTGCAGCGCCAGCGCCACCCGCGGCCGTCTTCCAACGCTGTGCCACTTCTCCGGTTTCGTTCGTTACACTACCCCTTTAGGCTAATGTACCTAGAGTAAATAAACCTAACAGCCTTAGCCTGGATTGAATTAAAAAGATTGTTCACTTTTTTTTTTCTTTTTTTTTTTTAGATATGGATGTTAGACAACAGATCTAAATTGGCCGAAGGAGGATTTTAAAAACCTCTTTAGGGAGAACATTTCAACGTACGTTTGGCATACCCTAGCTTCCTAAGGGAAAGAGAACATATGAAGTTAAAGTACTTGTCTCATTTAAGAGAATATCGCAGCTCCCCAGGCCCCATGCATTTCCAATAGCAACGTTTTAATCCGACTGCTCAGAAACCACCGGACGGATTGACTTAGGGAATGTTTTGTTCGAAATATAATACGAAATTCCATGCGGTCGCACATTTCCCGGTTGGATGCCTAGAGTTTATTTACGGGAGCTTGAATTCCCTTCAAACTGGCACCCTTTTCAACTTGCCATTCATTTGCACTTCTGTAGAAAACAGAGTAACACCAATACATTTTCTGACACCGCGTTGCGCACGGTAATTTTTTTTTCTTAACCTATCTCCAACAAGAAATTCATTTCATGCATTTCAATTGGGAAATAAAAGGATCAAGTTTGCGCTCCGGTGAAAGCCTGAAAATTGCCTCCCCGATAGATTTTATCGTCTATTCCGTGGCCCCATCTGTGAAAAACCATTCATCGTTACAAAATAACAAACAGCGCGCGCAAAAAAAAAAAAAAAAAAAAAGAAATATAACAAACGCTTGCGATTCCTAGTTCGCCAAAGGAACGAATCATTTTTCTTTCAACGTTTATAGCAGCTTGCATGGAGAAGCGTGCACGAAGTTTCATTATACAAGCACTTAAAAAAATTAGGGCTCCCATCCAGGCTGTGAAGGGGGTTGGTCAGCAAGGCTGTGGCATCACCTGCTACGATTGCCTACTGCACAAAATACCGCCGCCGGTCGCAGCACGCCGCCGCCGGTCGCAGCACGCCGCCGCTGGTCGTATAGCCGTTTCTTTTCCCTTTGCCGCTCATAGTATTCACGCTGCTCCTCGGGAGTCCTAACTATGCGTGGCCTATTCATCGCTGTGGTGCAGCAACAATGAAATCAGCTGCTATACTCCGTTTCATCTTACGTTTAAAGGGCAACTCCGGCCAAAACTCAAAATGAAAGAAATTGCTGGTATCGCTGTAGTGACACAAAATACGACCCCAGCCAAAATATTACGTCCGTGGGACGCCGCATTCTCAACTAATGCCGATAATAAAAATGTGGTCGACCCACGAGCCGCTGCTCCTTAGCGGGCGGCCAGCGGGTTGCCGATCGCTAAAGCAACATTGGGCCGTGACGTCAGTATCGTCCTCCTTTTTTCCTCCGGTCCGGGCGTTGCGCGGAGTGCGTTTCTTTGAGCCGCTACCACCGCTACTTCGGCTTGTGATTGGCGTGTTTAGCCGTTGCTTTTGTCTGTAGCCCGTGTAGCTTCGGCACAGTCTTTTGTTTATTTGCTTGTGTGGACTCCAAGACTCGCTTTAGCGAGCAACTCGGTGCGCCCAAGACTGCCCAGCTGTTCCTCGAAAGATGCCGAGTACAACTTGTAGCGCTGTGGGCTGCTCAAAAAACCCGCTGCGCAACACGGAGGTGCTTTTTCACAAGTTTCCAACAGACAAGAAATCGGAGAAGGTGTGGGTGAACGCTGTTCGACGAGTGAACTTTGGATTTCGGCTTTTACGCGCCCGACGAAAAAAGAAAAAAAAAACAGACGTGTACAGCCCAGCACACCTGTGTTCGAGCGCAAAGGCTCGCGCCGGAGAGCCTCAAAGCTGCATGTCTGGGACTGACCTCCAGCGCGAAAGCGAGAGGGCCCCCACTACTGTACGTCACTGGCAGCGCGGCGTAGATCAATGCCTCTCCATCCACGGAGCCCCGATGCAATTTAGGCCTAGCGACGAGTACGGAAGACCGCACACACGGCGGCAGACGCCAAGTACGGCACCGAACGACTTCACTCGTTTTCCAGTCGCTATAGCGACTGGAAAACGAGTGAAGTCGTTCGGTGCCGTACTTGGCGTCTGCCGCCGTGTGTGCGGTCTTCCGTACTCGTCGCTAGGCCTAAATTGCATCGGGGCTCCGTGGATGGAGAGGCATTGATAGCTTTTGGGTATACAAGCGACGAGTACGGCATAGCGCATGCACGGCGGCGGCCGCCGAGTACGGCAGCGTTCGAGTTCACCGGTTTTCCAGTCGCTAGCTTTCGGGTATACGCACTAACTCTTGCTACATACACTGGATAACTACCACGTATACCGGATTAAAATAAAATCAGCTTACCTCCTATCTTTAGACGGCTAGCGCAGCAGAGGTAGGTGCCGCTCGGCTTGCGTACTCGTTGAACGAGAACGACCCTGACGTCACGTTCACATAGCGGCTGATTTCCAGTGTTGCCTAGGCCTCGAGTGGCTAGTTTCGGCTTTGTTGGCCGCGCCCGAAACAAAACTTTGAGGCGTCGATATCTTTAAAACACTTCTGTAGAGGGGGGGGGGGGGGGGGGGGGGGGGCGCTCGAAAGCATGCTTCAAAAGCTCCGGTGCGCGGAACACGGTAAAGGTTTGCAAATTAAAAGTCAGCGAAACAGACGGGACGGAAGAAAGGAGACAAACAGTCGCTGAACTTACAACTGAAGTTTTAATCGTCAAGGCGCAGCCTACCTCCATAATCTCTCTGGTCAGGTCATTGGCACTTCTTTTAATGACAGTACTTTTTTTTTTTTAAATTCCGCATCACACGCACAGTCACGACAATGAATGCTCAAAAGTCCTGATACTACCCTGTTTACACTGTAAACATGTTCTCTTAACCTATCATTCAGGTTCAGGCATCTGCCCGTCTGGCCTACGTATTGTTTACCACAGGATGGCGGAATGGCGTAAACAACTTTTTCTGTATAATCAACAAACCCATTTCGATGCTTGTCTGGACACTCCGGAAACCTCCCGGCAGAATGACTGACAGTTCTGCAAAGCTTAGACAACTTATTCAGGGCAGTGGAGACTGCGTGTATACCCACTTTCCTATTTTCTTTGCGCCATGGGAAACTCTATTCTCTATGTAAATACGGGACCACAAGAACTTTGTTTCTATTTTCTTTATGAGTGTTTTTTTACATTTGCAGCTTCGTTTGCACCTTCTCTAACTTCAGCTGTAAGTTCAGCGATTGTTTATCTCCTTTCTTACGTCCCGTCTATTTCGCTGCACGTTTTAAATAAACATGACTTACCAACGCACACAAGCTTCCATTCTGCTAAAAGTCCCTGATAAGTGCCGCCGCGGGCGTCTGCGTGACAATCGACGAGCACGAAAAAGAAACAATGTGCACCGAACTATAATTGATAAGACAGCATATGCTGTCTTATCAATTCCAGAATTGCAAAATATACTATAAAAAAAAAAAAATTGAGTATTATACTGCCGCGCGTGCAGCTAGACAAGTAGGCAGCGCGCCCGTGGCCGAGTGGTTATCGTGCTTGGCTCCCACGCGGAGGGTCGAGGTTCGATGTTTCGGAGCGGACGCACTTTTTTTTGTTATTTCTGTAAATATCGCGTTCTTGTGTATTCGATAATTCTGTTGCTTATTCGAGGTCAGAATGTTCTACGCTCCGAACCCTCTGCGCCGATTGTTCCAGAAGCCCACGCGTGGCGAGCCGGAAGCAGTCGCGTTCCAGCGCTCGATCCTGCTGTTTCGCCGACATCCACGCCTGCGACGCTAACCAGCTTCTATTTTGTTTTGGGCACAAGTTCGCCCCATTAAACGTTTAGTTTCTCTAGTTATTCGCTGTCTCAACATTTGTCATTCGTGACAATAGTTCGTTTCACCTTAAAAAAACACTGGCACTCCTCAAATTTTTTTTTTTTTTTTGTTAGGCGAGTTATTATGGTGTCAGAAGACCCAATCAATATTTTTCTACAGCGTCACAAAGTAAAAAAAAAAAAAAAAAACGCAACTGCTCGAAACCGAAACCGAAACTGGGCTGGAAAGGAAGAAGAAATATAGAGGAGAGAGAGTTGGCGGAAATCACGTGGCTGTGCAACTTTTTTTCTTCCAATCAACGTATTTGCAGCTTTTTAGAAGCCACAAAAAAAAAATGGGTATCATATTTCCTATCTATTTTTTATATTGTGTGCGTGCCTTCCATGACCCACGACTTTGATTATATTTGGTGGTTGTGTCTAAACCATAGAAAACGGCACGCGACCACGGAGAAGAGAGTGAGCGTGACTCAAACCGGCCAGCACTCGATCGGCGGTTTTCGGACTGAAAGAAAACGAATTTCGACCCGCCAACACTTTCCTGGGTAGTTATGCTCTCGTATGTCATGTACAAAAAAAAAAAAAAAAAAAAAAAACATTTGAAAGCATAAATACCCTGTCAGTGTCCCTTTAAGTGCGAATGCAGCCGACGATATTCGAGCTCATGGAATCAGTCAAAAAGCAACAAAAGCACGAGTCACTGGGCCTTCCCTGTACATGATTGGTTCAGCGATGATGAAACTCGCACCGAAACATGACGAACACCATGTTGGTGCGCTTTTGACGTTATATGACTGGTCCCACCAGTTCGTCGGCTCCGTCCGGACGTAAGGAGAAACATTCTGCATTTTTTCATCCCAGCATTTCTCAGCACTGGAGATGAATCACGTATTGCGAGCAACGCATGCTTTAATTGTATCATGTTCGTACACCCGCAGGCGATATGAGGGTGAACGCCGGACCGTCGACCGGTCCGTGCTATCAGCGCCATGACGCGGCTGCCGTGGCGGTTCGCTTTCTTATGGCGCTCTTCGCCGTTCTCAGCTCTGCTGCTACTCCCCGCAGAAAGCGCGAGGATTGCGGAAGGAGCCTTTCAGACGCTATCAATAAACAATGTGATTTAGTTTTTTTTTTTTTTTTTTTTTTTTTTTTTTTTTTTTGCGTTTGTGATACGCGTTAAACCGGAAAGCTGCGGAACAAATTAAAAAGTAACTTACCCTTTCCGTCTCTTAAAAAATAACAGTTATTATAAAAAAAGAAAACTTTGTCTCACCGTACGATGGACTAAAGGCAGAAGCTACGGACCGCCAGATCCAATCACGAGCCACTTACAAGTTGCGTGGTATTTCGCTTCGATGCACGTATCGGCGCCCGCGTCTCAAATCACTAATGGGGAGGGGCGGACGGTAGTTCGGATTGGATAGAACTGAGTGACTGAACAATTTTACATTGCAAAGAAAGCTATGTCATACAGGCTCTTTGCAGTGTCGAAGGTATAAAAATGATGCAGCGCTTTTGGACTCGGAGGATCATTCGTCCAGCCCTAACCAATGCTAAGCGTGTCATATCTTAGCTTGCAACGAGATTGGGCCTTGCGGCCCTTGGCTTTGGCCTTTAGTCCATCGTAGGATGAGACGAAGTACAGCGTTCCCAGTTATTATATTCGCTTCAGCTTAGGTCCGAGCGCAGCCGATGTTATGAGCCGAAGGGCCAATCAAACAGCGAAAGAGGCACAATGTCATGGCGTGCTTTCTGCAGTTAATAGGACCAGCCGGTATTCGCCGTTTCTCTGTGCGTGCTCCTCTGCCAGCTAGTTCTATAAAGCGCAGAGAGCAAGCCATGACGCTGCACTTTTTCCGCTGTATGATTGGCCCTTCGGCTCATAACATAGGCCGCGCTCGGACCTAAGCTGAAACGGAGTATAGCGTTCACTCATGAATGAAAAAAGCGGTTGAGCCACTAATAAACCATGCCGAAGAACGTCCGCTCTAGTTCACGTGCAATCTGCAAATCATTTGCCGGCAATGACGGGGGAACGGCGACCACAAAAAGCGATGCCGAAATCGAAACCCACTTCCACGCTTTCTGCGGGGAGTAGCATCAGAGCTGAGAGCAGCGCTCAATCTAAGCGCTTAATCTCGGCGAAGCGAGCGATAAGAAAGCGAGCCTCCACGGCAACCGCGTCATGGCGCTGATAGCACGCACCGGTCGACGGTCCGCCGTTCACCTTCATATCGCCTGCGGGTGTACGTAGAGTCGTATGGCATGTATGACCGACTGCTATAGATTTTTACGTCGCTTATCACCCGGGAGAAAAACGCTGAGTCACTAAGCTGTGGACGCGTGCGCAGCGTCTCATATCCAGCATAAAAAAGCAACAACGCATGCTCAGAAGGCGTTCCACAGCCCAATAAACAAAGATGGCAGCGCGCAGAAGGCGATTTTTGCAAAGGTCTATACTGCAAATATATTGATTATCACGCCACCATTTGTTTTTACATCGCGCTTCTCCGTGCACTTCTGTGACTCACGTGTGTATATACCGGAGCGCTCGGCGATATCGCGTCGATCGAACTTCGCCGGTGTGGCAGCAGACGCCTCGACAGTCTCTAGATTGAGCTTGATACGCCTCTCTGAAGAGCTCGCACAGTATATAACGAAGAAAATAAGAAAAAAAAAAAACTTTCTCCACAAAGCACGCTTTCTGGGCACACGAGACAGATCCTACCACTACTAAACACGAACCAGCAGAGTCAGAACATGCAATACATATCCCGTATGGATGTTACGAGTCGATGAGCATGAACGTGTTGCATGATGTACAATAGTCGGTTTCCTCCGCATTTGGCTTTGGCGGAAACGGAAGCGCGTCACACGAGAACGTGAGGGGAGGCGTCGATGATCATACATATAGCGCTGGTACGAGAAAGTGAAGGAACAAGTGATGGGAAAAAGGCAAGAGTGAAAGTGAAGTTCACAGTTTTGAGGTAGGCGCGTTGGTACAGTGCAAAAACTTCAGAAATAATTGAACGTCGAGAAAGGAAAGAGGAAAATTTTACCTGAGTGCACGCGCCACAATTTTTATCAGGGGATGCCAACTCCTCCCACTGTACACCTTCCTAGATATAGCGAACAAGGTGTACGATAACACTATATTGCTTCCCATGCCGCCGAGCGACACAAATTCTTTTATCTTGCTCCACCACGCATCCCGGACGGCGCGGCATGTGTTTGGAGATTTCTGTTTGTCCTTTGTCCCCCTTGTTCCTCTACTCCAGGGATTATTTTCGTCATGCAAAAGGTCAGTTTGCCAGTTTCATAATGCTTGAATCCGACTCATTCGAGAATTGATCAGTCGTCGATCTTTCTTATCAGTACCATATGCTTCTGGGCGGTAGGTTGCGGGCCCTATAGTCTAAATTAGGACGTCTCAATGTACTTGTCTAAAATATTCAATCGAGCAAGTTCACGTGGTATCCTTCTGATGCCCATAAAAATTGTCAAGTTTTTGTACTATGTTGTCCAAGCTGGGTCGATAGGCTCGTGAAACACAAAGCTGCGGCCGAAATTCGCGGACCGTGCTGATTGAACTCTTGCGACGATGGAGTCACGCAGGAAGAAATATCATTCATTCAAACTCTCTCGGTGCTCACATTCCAGCAAGATTGTGGAGCACGAAGTCGTGGCGCGCTTCATCGGAGCGCGCGCGCGAGCAACACCGTGGGGCCAGCCGACTGAACGGCGCTGCACTGATCCTATATCCTTACGCAGCGGTGGTCAATGAATGCTGTCTAGATTGTCCCTAGCGGGCTGTCAATGCTCTGAACTTTCTCGTCGCTAGAATCGTCGTTTGTGGAAGTTATCGGTGACGACAAAGTGACGTTCCTCAACTTTGGGAAGGAGTTATTTGAGGACAAAATCTTTGCTTCCGAATGGAGGGGAAGATTAATCTTTTTGATATTGTGGAGCCGTGCGCGGTGTATACAAACGCGATACACTGAAATACGAACAACGGAACGCTTGGCTTTCTCCACATGCTGCGCAGCCTGGCGACTAGCTAGGGAAGGTTGCCCATGCGCAGTAAGGCCACAGATACTAGGATTTGCGTCTAACTATGATATGCCTTGACGTGGCCTTGGGCTACCGCCCGGTGTGCGAGCCCTTTACTTAGCACGCCGCGGCGCTAGGGGCCCGCGCGCGCCGCCGTTATCTCAGCTCCCGGCTGTGTGGTGCGACTGCAGCGCGCCGCGACGAAGCGCTCACGCGCCGAGCCAAAGAGCTGGCACACCCAGTAAAGGTCGAGGCATACCATAGTAGTATATGGTAGCCACCATAATAATAGGACGCGAATCCTCGTATCTCTGGCCTTAGTGCGCATGCGCAACCTTTCCTTGCCCGTCGCCAAGCTGTGCAGCATATACAGAAAGCCACGCGCTCCGTTGTTCGTAGTTCAATGTCTCGCTATTTGCGTGGCTTTAGAACACGACTTTCCATAGCTCCCTAATCATCATGTACTTGTTTGAATTCCATAGAATGCGCCAACTTAAGATGTCGCGTCCTCTCTGTGCCGCCTGTCGAAGGTGCGCTTGATGTTCGTCGGAGTAGTCTGGTGCGTTAATCAGTGTGACTCCCGGGTATCTATACTTTTCTATCATCATGACGTCTTCCGTCTCCAGTCTCAGTACTTTGCTGTCAGCGCAGTGCCCGGAGAATCGCACCATTGCTGACTTCTGGACATTGAAATTGAGTTCCACCATTGATAGTCGTTGCACGCAAAAGTTTCCTTGCGTCTGCAACGTGTCCATGTCACCCACCATGAGGACGAGATCATCTGCGTACGCAAGACCTGGTGGAGCGCAGTGTGTAACTCATCCGTTTTCAATCCGCCCAAGTGTGAAACCAAGTCCAGACGTCAGTAGTCGCCTCTCCAGTTCTGCTGTGTACAAGTTATACAGAAATGGTGAGAGTGGCAGCCCTCTTTGAAGCCCCTCTTCACGCTGACGCTTTTGGACACCACGCCTTTGAACTCAGCTGTAACGACACCCCCGTCGTAGAGTCCCTGTAGCAAGTCTGTCCATTCTTCAGGCATGTCGAGTCTCCCGAGGCACTGAAGTAAGGACCGGTGAGGCACGCTGTGATAAGCCTTGGCCACGTCCAAGAGGCAACATATAAAAAGCCCGCGTCTTCCCTTTTGGCTATCTCTATCAGCTGTGTTAATACAAACAGGTTATCCTCCAGTCGCCGATCCGTTCGAAAGTCGTTTTGGAGCTCTGTTAGTTTTCCGTTTCCCTCTGCCCAGGCACGCATCCATTCTTCGATCAAATTTGCGAGCACGCTGTAAATGACGCCTGTCACAGTGGGTGGGCGGTAGTCCTGCAGTCGTTTCTTCTAGCCTCCTCGTTTGGCGAAAGTACTACTCTACCCTGCATCCAAACGTTTGGAAAGGGGCTTTCCTAAACGATGTCGGTGAAGATGCTTGCCAGCGCGCCTTCGTTTCTTCGCCCATGCACTTGACTAGTGCTGCAGATATGCCATCTTTGCCTCGTGCTGTATGCCTCTGAACGTGAGGGATCGGTCTATCGAAGGTAATTTTCGTCACCTCCCATTTCAGGTCTCCCGGCTGCCCTGGTGCTCGTGGACGGTCTGGTTCTATCAATTCGTCTGGTATACCCTTTCTGGTGTCTCGGGTGCTTGAAATGCCATTGGCGTGTGCGGATCTCGTGACCCAAATATTATTTCCAGGTGCTCCGACAAGTCCTCTGCCAAGTCGTGTACCACATGTCCCATCCTGCGGCGACCGGCGCTGCAGTGTCGCCCTCGTCGCGGCTTCGCCTCTTGGCGCTTCCAAATTCTACCACCGCGGAACAAACGCGCCGACAGCCGTCAACTTCTTGATGTTATTAATGTCTATGTTCGCTTTCTGCTTCCTCGAAGAATATTGCGTAGCAGCAATAAAAGAAAATACACACACAAAGATTAGCTATTTAGGCTCTCCGCATAGTCAGATAGATATACTCCGTGTCACCTTACGATGTACCGCGATGGATACTACGAGTTGCTCGAGCCAATCAACAAAGCGTAGCTTGTCTCGTAACTTCGTGCTCCCCGCGTCACTCAGCCCAACGGAAGGACACGTGACACCCTCCGAGCTATGAATCGGCCCCGGTGGCCCGTAGCGTCGTATGCGGTTTATCGCAATGTAAAACAAAGTATAAGAGTGTACGCCGAATCGCTGATACCAATTCGTACTCCTATTGACGTGAAATATACTTATTTGTTTAATTTTGTTAGCTGTTTCCATGTCGTCGCTGCCGTTTGTTTAGCCAAAACTAAGCCGCTGAAGCCACCGTCGCGAATATTTAATTGACTTCGCGACACCACCCCCAAGAAGGCGCGGCTCACATTTTATTACGCCGAACCGTTTCCGGTAATCGCCACATGAGATAACGGTTCCGTTCCGGTTCGGGTTCCATATCAAATAATTGATTTTGGTCAGAGGTTTTTTTTTTTTTTTTTCAGTTAAAAATAATGGTTTTGTTCCGGCTTTCCGTTCGGGTTCGATTCGACACACTGGTTAAAAGCTACATGCTAATCGCACATGACTACAACAGCCGCTTGGTCGCGTCTCGCGGCGCCGGGAACGACACCTTGTCCGTCTACAACTATTTAGTTTTGGTTGCTTCACTGAGGGCGCGCCTTTTTTAACCTCGAAGGAGCATAAGCCAATGAGACGATCAAGCCGTCAGCCACCTCCAATACAATGGTGCTGTTTCAAGAGCCACCTACCATGGGCTAGCGATTTGCGCCATCAGCCAGTATGCCCTAGGTGAAAATCGACACAGCTCGTATAAGAACCGAGCCCCATTCCCACTCCATTCCGGGCAAAAGGAATCTAATTCCATTCCCATTCCATTGCCCCCAGCACTGCTACCATTGCATTCCTATTCCATTCCGGGGTCGCGCAAATGCGGGATGATTCGAGAATCATTCCCACTCCGGGGTGGCAACTCCGCAACATGCACTGGTTTGGAGCATGGTGGGACCCCGCTTCCTGAGGCGTCGCGCGTGGCTCCAACTATGATTAGGGAACACGATGCTTTCCGGACGCTTTTCCGCTACCATTGTCTTCCCCGTCTAATTTTTCCAATTGCCCGTTGAAGTCTGCTGAAGTATCTCAACTCCCCGAGGCATACGTCCATTTTCTCCGCATTCAATTAGCTGCACGTTTTCCTCGTGCATGGATCCCCCAACGGCCATGTATCACCACGCACACACGCACAGGCATATTTTCAATCTCTCCGGTTATCCAGAGATGATCTCGGCAGGTTGTTTCCTGCCTTGGCTGCCACGTGGAGTAAGCACGCCACAAAAAGCCGACATCCCCAACTCCCCGTACTTCACCGTCCCGATAGCCCATGCATCATTCGGAGTGTATTGGAGGTTCCTCCAGTCCGCGTAAATGTGTCTCTGCGACTGCAAGAAGAGATATTTCTTCCAGTTCCATATCTCGTAGAGTTCTTCCCATTTCGCATAGCGTCGCGCACTCTGAACGTTGAGGAAGCCCATCGCCATGGGCGTACCAACCGGGGGGGCAAGGGGGGCACTTGCCCCCCCAGTTTTCAGAGCGGGGGGGGCAAGGCATGTGTTTTGCCCCCCCCTGAAACAGCCGCCACTGGGCAGGGCAAACACTGGCCGGCGGCGCCCGAGGACTGGCAGGCGATAGAAACCCGAGGATTGGCAGGCGAAACACTGGCAGGCGATACAAACCCTAGCAACGGCGCTCACGCCGGATTGGCAGGTTTGTGGAGATAGGCGCTGCCGCCGTCAACATATGCAGTGGTTACAATGCGAGTTTCCGAAGCGGTAGCGTAACTTAGTTGTAAGATGTCTACCTCATACGTAGCAGACCACGGTTCTATCTACGCTTTGGACTTCTATTTTTTTTTTTGTTTTTTGTTTTCGTCGAACATTTTGTATTGTGGAGGCATTTGGCGATATTTACATTTTTTTTTTTTTACAATTAGCGCTGAAAGAAAAACGAATGTTGTGGATGCGCTGAACTAAATTGTATGGGACTCTCTTTACGGATGTGGATGGGGGATAGTGGGGCTTGGGTTGCCGGCTGCAAAGCGGCGTGTACGGGGGTATAAGGGGGGAGGGGGTTAACGCTCGTTGAGTGATATACGCGCCGTCCGAATTCGATATTTAAGTTTCCGCACGTTGCCGAACGGCCAATCTGGCGTGAGCGTCGGTGCTAGAGGGCCTATCACCTGCGCCGTAAAAGTTGGTGATGGACCGAATCTGCCGAACTTCAGATGCGGCAAATTTCCGCACATGCCGAAATTTAGAAGGTAAGTTCGACAAAGATTCGATAAAAATTCGGCAAATGTCTGCGCACGCGCACGAACGCGACGGGGCCATGAATCGCAAATGGACGCCGCGCAGTTGCGCGGTTACCATCGCTTTAGTACAACCAGCGGTTACGGCGAGGTCTGGAGTAGGCGGCACGGTAACTGGGCGTTCGTGAGCTTTTGCGAGTGTGGTTGTCTTCAATATTTTCTGCCTCAAGAACACAAATCGACGAGTAATTTACGCGGCTCACTGCGAAAGTGACAGGCGGTGCATTCTAGATAACGTGATTTTCATTTGATCTTTCCATTCATGAAACGAGGTAGTTGAAGCATTGACTGACAACTGGACAATTACGCTCAGTGCCCGCAGCCCACTGCCGTCAAACGGGAGAGTCACGAACCTTGCCAGAATTAGGGCTGGGAAGTCGATCCAGTAACCTATCGATTAATCTACTAATGATTTAATCGTGATTAATTTTTAACCGGTTAATCGGTAAAATTTTGACGAAACTAAAACGGTTGAAAGTCAGCGCTATCACCACGCAGAGAGGACGAGTACATTTGTATGAAGAGCCAACTTTAGGCCAAATTTTAGCCTAAAGTAAGCTGTAGGGGCGAGATTAGTAACCTCAGACAATTGGATTAGCTTACACGTGTCCCGTCTAGTTCAACGCCGTTTGAGTGTCTGTTTAGCGCAGCGGAGGCAATTGTGAACAATCAAGGAAGGTCGCTCTTGCCGGAGAATATCAACGAACCTCTTTTCCTCGTGCAGATAAAGTAATGACCTGTGAGCGTGAGTGTCTTTGAACTGTTCTGATTTACACATGGAGGCCGATTCGAAATCCAGATGGTATATTCCGCCGTTTGTCACAAATTCAACAAAATCAAAAACCAATTTTCTTTTTTTTTTTTATACTTTGTATGAGAATGAACGAGGCCGATTAGTTGATTAATTAATCCATTGAAAGGTCGCGATTAATCGGGTTAAACGTTTTAATCGACGCCCAGCCCTAGCCAGAATGTATGGGATGCAGCTGGCATCCTCGTCATAATGGGATACATGTTTTCCCCCTTCTTTTTTTCTTTTTACGCACTTTCTGTAGTGCGTATATTCTGTACATTTATTTGTCTGTTTGTTTTTTTCACATGTGGTGGCGGGCTGGCAGGCGCTCTGAGTAAGGGTTTTCAGCTATCTGCCTAGCCCCGCACACCACCACATGGGCCCCTCCAGTATGTGCAAATAAAATTATTATTTTTATTATAAAAATCCTATTTTCGGCTTACAAGTAGTTTGTGCCAAAACAGAATGATATTGCGTTTTAGTTCGCATTATTTCGCGATTTTCATGTATCTGCATAAAACTAAACACAGAACTTTCATGCTCGACGTTGGATATCCGATATTCCTAACTCTCCCCATCTTCTTGAACGTCCGTGTGTGTCCTAACACCAGAAACCGGAATTTGAAAGGCTAAAAACGGCACGTTGCGAATATGGAACGCGCACTTTCTTGCCAAGCTGACGTCAAGTGGCTCAGATCGAAAAACATGCATATTTACAATATTGCTATCTCTTCAGGTGAAGGCTCAGCAACCGTTGCAATCGTATTCGCGCACGAAACGGCGACTTCCAGAGAAAGTAAGAACGTAGTGATTGCTTTTATTTTAAAAATGTAAACACACATCCAGGCCTGCACTGATGAAGTCTTAAAATCAAAACTCTCGTAGCGTGATTCATGACTGCGGCGGCTGCTACCCAACCTCGTTGTCACGCCACTTTCTGGAAGCAGACACTAAAATTGCAAAAGTAAACACACAAAAGCGACACCGATACAATTATCTTGCAGAATATCACCTTATTTAGTAATAACTGTGTCAATAGGCACTACTAGTTGCTTTTAAGTTAAGAAGAAAATACAAACAAAAAAACGTAAACCTTTTACCAAATCTTTGTCGAATATTTGCCAAATCTATAGAAAAGTTCGGCAAAAGTTCGGCTCCGCCGAATCGGTGACGAACTTTCGAATCGGCAAAAGTTCGGCCCATCACTAGTAAAATAGTAGAAATTTGCGACCGGAGGGGGGGGGGGGGGGGGGGGGGGGGAGGGGAGGGGGAGCGGGGGTTGTCTTGCCCCCCCACTCAAAAACAAGTTGGTACGCCACTGCCCATCGCCACCTGTGAGGATGGTTACCGCTTGCGTCGTCGACACTGCAGTGTGCGGGCCTTGATTCCCGGTGCTGCCGTTCGACCTCTTGGTTGGAGCCCTGTTTAAGCGTTTCGTCCGAGCGGCCCCATTATCCCGGGTCCGCGCATATGATGACCATGTGGAGGTGTCAGCAGTCGACGTAGCAGATTTGAATACTGGGAATGCTGTCGTCTGCGCTGGTAGTGGCATCGTGTATACCGGCACCGACATAATAGGTGGGGGTATCCTGATCTATTTACCCTCCTAAAAGGGGGGCACTTGTTAGTGGCTCGCGTTGATGATTGTCCGGGGGCTTGAAGTTACCCGTTTGGTGATCCCGGTATAACGTTGCCCCCCGCTCTGACTCGGGACCTGAGCCCAATGGCGGGAAGTTGCTCTGGTATTTCCGAAACAGCTGGAAGTCGTCTGTCTTTGGAACATGGTGGAACCCCGCTTCCTGAGGCATCGCGCGTGGCTCTACGCCTTTTCCGGTAAAGTTGTGCTCAGCTTGTCACTAAGTTTTTTTATTTCTTTTTTTTTTTTTTTGTGTGTGTGCTTTG